AAATTGTCCTCCTTGCTGCTGCTCAGATAATTGCTTAGCCAATTGACCTATCTGCGTCTCTATATTTCTGAATGAAGCCTCAGTATTTTTCTGATTAGCCATAGTGCTTTGCATGAATTTTTCTACAGTTGCCTCAGTATTTTTCTGATTAGCCATAGTGCCTTGCATGAATTTTTCTAAAGTATCCTCCAATTTACTATTCTGTCAAGTACTGAAGGATAATGTTGTTGCTGCTGTTGATATGGGGTTGCTGATATGAATGTTGTTGAAATGCAGGTTGTCTAGTAGATGAGCTAACACCTTGTTTCCACCCAAAATTTTGATTCTGATTCTGATTCCCTCTCCATCCTTGTGCAGTATTATTCTGATAATTGTTAGGATTAGGAAAATTACCTTGTCTGCCTTGACTACTACCTTGGGCACCCATATAATTAGCTTCTTCCTGTAGAATGTTGCCTTGATAAGAACATTGTTCATTTGCATGATCACCTCCACACACATCACAACTCATCTGTTGATTAATAATAGATTGTCCTGTGTGCATTTGTTGAGGTAATTTCTCTATTTTCTGGTTCAATGCTTCAATTTGTTGCGTTATAAGTTTCTTCTAGGCTAAGATAGCATCTTAGCTGTTAAGTTCAAGAACTCCCTTCCTTTGAATTGGATGTCTATCATGTTGGGTCTGTTGGTCTGTAAAGGCTAGTGCAACAATAATTCTGGTGGCATGATCAATTTCTACATCCAACATGGATCCTCCTGTTGCAACCTCTAATAGCATCTTCGCATCATGTCGCAACCCAGTATAGAAAATATTCAACTGAGCAACGCCATCAAATCCATGATTTGGGCATCTTCTCAACAGTGATTTAAATTTCTCCCATGCTTCACAAAATTATTCATCTGCTCCTTGTCTGAAAGAAGTGATGTCAGATTTTGCTTTGATGTAGCGAGATGGTGGGAAAAATCTATTCAGAAACTTCTCTTCTACACTACTCCAATTAGTCAGACTCTGATTAGGATGTGCTTTCAGCCACTCCTTTGCCCTACCTGCCAAAGAAAAAGGAAATAATATCAAATATGAAGATTCAAGATTTGCTGCTCTAAATTCCATGGTACCAATCAACTCATAAAAAGTAGACAAATGAATATAAGGGTCTTCATGATCCAATCTAATGAATTGATGAGCACTAATCAAGCTTAAGAAAGCTGGATTCATCTGCAATGTATGATCATCCGAAATGACAATGTTGAAAAAATGTCTTGGGCCTTGCTGCATAGCACAATTTCTAAGAGTTCTTCTAGGTGGATTTGCATTTGGGTTTTAATTTGGATTTATATTGGGATCTGGATTCAGATTCAGATTTACTCTTTCTTCTGCCATATCTTCTATAATTGCGTCTGGTAAATCAAGTGTGAAAGAAGAATTAACAGATTCTCTTGTGGCTTGTTCTTGAGTTTCGCTTCTTCTTCTACCCCGGTTCCTCCGAGCTGTTTTTTCAATCTCTCGGATTAAATTCTAACCGCTTTAAAGATATATGTCATCTTAAACGCATAAAAGAATACTCAAGCAAAGATTAGCACAAGACAATAATTAAAAAAAAAACTAAAACTGAAAAATAAAACGAAAATAGAAATAAAAATAAAAATAAAAATAAAATACTCAATAAGCTAAACAAAGAATTCTCAAAGAACACCGTTCCTCGACAATGGCGCCATAAATACTTGTTGAATTATTGGCAAGCGTAACAAAATTATCAATCGCAGTATAGTATTTCAATTAAATAAAAGTCGATCCCACGAGGAACAGTTTCAATGGAAATTCCCAATTATGCTTACTAAGTAAATTAAACAGATTGGGTTTTGAAAATAAGAGTTGAATTGAAATTAAATGACAAAGAATTGTAAATTGTTGAGAAAATATCAGTTAAAGGTACTTAGGATTGGCTACTTTCCTTATCTCTCTTTTATAATGGCTAAATCAATTAAGAACGTCAATTAACCTAACAATGTTGATGTCACCTACTCAAATCATCTATGTTGATTCCTCACACATGAAATTCATAAGAAAACCTAATAAATGTTGATTCCTCACACAATTAAGAGATTTTCCAGCATTTGGGCTAGGGTGTTAAGCAATTGATACATTCATTCATTTCCTGGCAATTAACGTAACAAATATTCTTACTATGATCTAGGGTTCAAGATATATTTTCCAATCATACCCCAAACATCAAGAATAAATCATTCCAAAGCATAAAGGATAAGAATAACAACATCAAAGCATAGATTAATATCTCAAAATATCACCATGATACAAAAGAGTTCGAAGGAAGTGCACCGAATCCTAAGAGAATGAAGTTAGTCACTCATGTTGGCCATTACAATGCTCTAATTGATGAAGAAGTGAAGAATTGATGAAGATTAGACGAAACCCTAACAGTAGTCGTGCCTCCTCTTCTCCAAGACTGTTTGTCTTCTCAAAACACATCTTATCTTTTTATAAAAGAATTTGGGTCGGGTCTCGCATCATTCATTCGCTTAAGCGTTCTTCTTTCTTTCAATTTTTCTCTAATTATGCTAACAATTATGGTCCTTACTCTTGTATCAAGATATTCTTGAATTCATCCTATATTGGGAGAAAAATATATTAGAATTAACATAAGTTAAGTGATTTCATAACAATTCAAGGTACAATTATATCAACTTTTTACCACTTAACATGAACTTCAACGAGTATCACCAACTCGTTTTAAAGTGTCAATTTGATTCTTTTCTTTACCGATTTCAAGTTTACCAAGTTCTAACAATTTGGCTATTTCATCTAATTCTACACTTTGTAACTCATCATAACGTTTACTAGATGAACAAACGACATTTATAGTAAAAGCTAAATTTGAAAAAAATTGATAAACTAAAATAACTTCTCTTGAAGCAGCAACCAAAGCAAGTTGTAATTTATAAGCAAAACAATGTATATAATAAGCATAAGGATTATCATAAAGAAATAATGCTTACAATCCATTCCATTCTTCTCTCATATTATTAGCACCATCATATCCTTGGCCACGAATATTGTTTGGTTTTCATCTCTACAAGTATCTCTTTTATCATTTTTAAAAATGAATCTATTCTTTTATGTTTCATATCTAGAAAAAAAGAATCTATTATTATTTTTCTAATTATAGAATTGTAAAAATTTATAAAAAACAAAAATATTTTTCTCAAAAAACAAATATTCCTCAACAAAAATCAAAATAATAAACAATAATAGAATAAGTAATGTGGAAAGATGAAGAAAAAATACATTTTTCAATTAATATAATTTCAAGGATGAAATCTGAGAAGGGAGGAAAAGAGACGAATAATGAATTTGAAAGTACAAACTATAGAAATAATTTAATACTAATCAATCAATATCACCTTTAATGAGAAAATATAAAAATGTGAGAGAAGATGAAGAATTACTTTTAATTTTTCTTATTTAATATATTCCTTAGAAATTAGAGAAATAATTAAATACGAATAAAATAATACCAATAATGAGAGAATATGAAAAAGTAAAAAATAAAAGGAAAAGTCAAAAAATCAAATTATTTATAATTTTTTTTATTTAATTTATTCCTTCAATTTTTTTTATAATATATTTAATATTAAAGACCAAAATCATAAATATATAAGATGTTGATAGGAAGATCCCCCAATTATTTATGTATAATTTAGTAAAAACAATTTAGTTAAATGTTTGCTCACTCCGTTACTGTTGGGCTCCCATGAAAAAAAGCCTAGTCAAAGGGAAACATGGATCCCTATTATATTATTATTTAATTACAAAAGGCTTATATGTTTATATATATGCTAGGAAAAATTAATTTTATTCCTTAAAATTTGATCTGACCTACCCGAAAGAATCACTTCCATTAAAAAAATTATTTAACATTTGCATTTAATGATGCAGCTCCCAACTAGGCTTGGATTTCTGTTCGGGATAATTCTGGTGCTGTATTTGGTTTATAGAAACGCCAAGCCGAACACAACGGAGGAGGCAGTGGCGATCTTCATAGTAATTAAGCATGACCCTCAAAATATAGTAAACTAAAGGATTATATTTTTCTTATTCTCTAAATTTTAATTATATTTTAGTAGTCAATAAAAAAATAGGAAGTCATAGTCTCTATTTTTATTTATTACTTTTTTATTGTTATTATTATTATTATTATTATTATTATTATTATTATTATTATTATTATTATTATTATTGTTATCAATTATTACTTCTGAAACGATTAATCTTACAAAATATCTACATGCAATTTTTAAATATCCATCTTGACCTGAATTTAAAAGTTTCAATAATTTAATTTTCAGACAGATATTGAAAGTAGTGATACAAGCTACAACATAAAATAAAACGCTGCTTTAACAAATAAAATTAGTGGAATTCGTAGACAATTTTCCTTCAAATTCACAATCCTTTGATTCAGCTGAAACTAATAAATCAATCTTATTTTTCACATGATCATATATACAGAAAATATAAACTTAATTCGAATACAACTGTCACCAATTAATAAAAAAAAAATTATTTTACCAGAAGCTAAATAATATTCCCAAAGTTTCTCCTCTGAAACCCTGGTCATATAATTTCCAACTCTTGAATCGTTCAGAACATTACATACCCCTTTTTTAATAAACAATCAATTGTTTGTGGAAAAAAGGCAAAGAGTTGAGGGTTTTATATTAAGAGAAACTAACAACATTATTGTACTAATTAAAAAATTTGACAATTCAAAAACAAATATTAAAAGGCGATAATAATCACACATTAACCATAATAGAGGTAATAAAAATGCAATCAAATTTCAAAGCAATCAAAGCTTGTTGAAGAATTGTTATACCTATTGCTGCATACATTTTTCAGAAAGACATTATATACAAGCAATCAAAGAAGGTAACGACAATTTTCCCAAATGCAAATAAAGGAGAATACGAACAGTAAAACACTACTCAATTCTCGAAACTGATCCATTCTTTACACTCCAGACAGTTGTTATTACAGGATATGGACACCCATACGTCCATCCAGGTCCAGAGTAACGAATACAATGTAGCCATAGACCTTCTTCATCACCATCATATCTGCAATTAAAAAACCTCGACAGAAGCAAACTTAGTGGTCAAGCTATCTGAGATTTAAATCAAGGATTGGCAGAAAAGAATCCTCAGAATTACAAGTTTCAAGTCACCTGACGCTTGCTATAGAACAAATAAAAAAACTTATATGTTTCCATATTTTACAAGTACAATAAAACATCACAAAACAAAACCAAAATCAGAAGTATAAACATTTAAACTGTAGTTTAACTAACACGTCTCAAAATGGTCAATGAATTGGCACCAAAAAGACAATAAATAAATATTTAGAACAACAATGGCATCTTCAACGTCATATTCATGCAGAAAGAGCTTTTTGCTACAAAAAACATAAGCATAGATGAACAACCATCAGAAACTTTAAGCTCCTACTTAGCTCAATAAATATTTAACCTAATTCAAATATCCTCATACCCTGATATCACAGCAGATAAACTGTAAAACCTGTTATATTTTTATGCAGCATTAAATCATAATGGTATGTTCTATTTTTCTCTAATTATGCTCACCTGAGATCTAATACTGAAAAGGCTTGACTACGAGAAAATATACCCTCAAAACCAAATTATTATGGTGCCCATTCTACTTTAGAGTTTAGACAGCTACACATAACGCTTGACTACGATAAAATTTACTCTTAACTTTCTTCAAGTCACCTATGTATCTTGGTCTTTTACAATTTACAATATACAAAAGCAGCAAATATTTTTTTCGAAGATAATGGGTTTCTTACCCTATGGGTGCCAAATTTGGACAATTAGTACACATGGGGTCAATGCAAAAATCTCCATTGGAATTTTCTTCGCATTCATTGAGCAATTCAAATTTTGATGTCAGAGAAACATCAGATATGCGGGCTGATCTATCAGCACTCAACCCTTTAACAGATCGATCAACAGTTTGGTCTGAGATGTACAGCATATCATTGGCTATTGGGTGTCCGGAATACTGTAAATGAACACGTATCTACACCAGAGGTGAGCATTCTATTCGCACCATATAAAAATTATTATGAATTGAACAACGACAAAATGTAGGATGTCTTTGGTCATAGTTAAATTAATATTTCCAACTGCATATTTCGTGTTAATCTCATCTCTTGTATACCATCAGTTGCACAGAAACAATGACAATCAAAAACATTTGCCTCTACAGTAATAGAATGGCTGGCAAGAGGCCTGCTTTTGAATATGTTGTCACTGACTATTGTGATACATCATTTCCATGCATGCACGTGTTATTATTGTATTAAAATCCATGTAATGAGAGATCTAAGCCTCAAAAAGCAACACATTGAAGATAGATATATTGGTAATAGAATGTTCTTTTCTATAGGGAGATTTACACAAGAAAGCAATTTGTAAACCAAATATCAGACATAAATAGGATGATATAAAGATCAAAGGAATCATCATCTTCAGACAAAAGAATATTCAAATATGCAGCTGAATTTTTTAATAATAAGAAACAAGCCCATAATTTTCGTACCTGATGAGTTCGACCAGTGATAATAGGTTCACATAAAACGATACTTTGAGTTCCATTAGTACTAATCCGAGTAAATTTTGTAGAGGCAGCCTTCCCCTTTGCAGAGTCTCTGACCTTCATTAAGAAAGATATATTCGTTCAGATATATATTTTATAATATTGATTCATGAGATACTTCTTGTCTTTCCACTTAACAAAAACCAATGCCTCAACATCACTATTCTTCCGACAATGTTAGCCACTACTGAAACATTATAACGTAAGAATAATCAATATAATCACCAATAGTTTGTTTCGGCTGTCGTATAGTCTCAGTTTTACACATCAGATCATTTACCAAGACAAAGGAACCCATGGTGTTTGTTCTATTTGCATCTTTTATTATGTTAACTTTGTTGAATTGGAATGTATATGTTGTTGCCTTGGACTTCAATTTCTGTAAAATATCGCTCCGATTCTGGGACATATATTTTGAACTGTGACAAAAGCAATGTTGTTCTTAAAAAAGCTTAGGGTACTCCAGTTCCAAAAGGCTCCTCGCTACACAAAAAATAGGAGGGTCATTGTATAAGGCCTTCCCCTCGCATATGCAAATATTACTTCCAGATTTGAGCCCATGCCAACAAATTACCAAAGTGCAATTTTACCGTTGTGTCAGGACTTGCCATCCAAAGTTAAGTGAAACTACAGGAAAAGATATTAAAAGGTAGCTGACAATTTATTTCAGCAGAACTTTAAAATTTGAATAGCAGAGTTTTCTAAATTAGTTGCTTAACATGAGTTAAATGAGCACAAATTTTGACGGATTCCATGGCTGATATTTTTGTCTTAAGAATGTACTCAAGAACTTGAAGGTAGGCTTCTACATCAGTCCTAAATACTAGTTAATCAACTGGGTGAAGGTTATAGAGAAAAAAAAAATTATTTTTCTAAGAAAACTGAATTATAAATTATGCAAGAAAAGTTTCAAAACAATAGACTATATTTTAGAAAAAAGAAATGCTAAACCATTAAAAAAAGGTTGCTTAGCATTTATCCCAGAAGCTAGAAAAGTAGCTAAAAATAGCTACATCATAAAAGTGTTTTGTGAGAACAAAGTCTCACATCGATGGGTACTTCAAAGGGGACATAAGTGAATGGTTATATAAGAAACCACATACCCTTTTCAAAACATTCCAAAATTTCTTCTTTCTTTCTCTAGTATCAGAAAGGGTTATCATTCTTAGGGCTAGAGAAGGGATATGTAATTTTTCTTCCTATTATAAAATTTCTACTTTTGTCTATTATTGTTATTCAATTTTTCTCTTCTCTATTTTAGTTGATTTCTTGTGCAAGTACTCTCACTACTAGAAAAATGTCAAATAAGTAACCGAAATCGATGACCGAAAAATTTAGTTACTATCGATTGATCGAATCAGTAACCAAATTATTATTTTTTAGTCTAGTAATCGAAATAGTAACCGAATTTTCGGTCACAAAAAATCGATTACTATTTCAGATCACTTTATTATTTAGTAACTCGATTTAGTGACTAAAATTTCGAGTCACTAAAAAAATAATTTTTAAACCGATTACTATTTTTCATTTATATAAATATTTTATTTAAAATATTTTAAATATAAATTTACTTAATGATTTAAAATAATTGATAACATTTTTAATAAAATTATAAATATTTTAAAAAAATTGTTTACTAACTTATTAAATAATTTAGTAATATAATTATTTGATTTTATTTTTTAATTTAGCATGTGAATAAAAAAATTAAAATTGATTATTAAATTAGTCACCGAATCGGTCATCGATTCGGTCATCGAATCGGTCCATCGATTCGGTCACCGAATCGATCATCGATTCGGTCACCGATCGATCACATCGATTCGGTCATCGAATCGATCACATCGATTCGGTCACCGATTCGATCATCGATCTCGGTCATCGATTCGGTCATCTGATTCGGTCACTCGATTCGGTCCATCGATTCGATCATCGAATCGGTCACTAAATCAATAATTAAATTAATTATTAATTTAGTCTCTTATATATATATATATATATATATATATATATATATATATATATATTACTTGTATGTTAATAAAAATGTATTTCAATGTATTTATAAAAAATTAAAATTATTTTAATTACTGAATTGATATTTTAAATTTATATTAATATCTTGAATAATTTAATAGTTGGAATATATATATATATATATATATATATATATATATATATATATACACTTTAATTTTTTTAATTAAAATTAATTTCATAAAAAAATTAATATTTGAAAATTAAAATGAAAATATATATATATATATATATATTTATTTATTTTTTAAAGATGATATATTCAATGTATGTTAAAAAGTTCAAGCCAAATCTGTTTTTATAGAAGATTTTCAAAACTAGCTGGTTTAATTAATCTGTTAAAAGATTCTTTTAATATGTTAAAAGTGCAGTTTTAATCTGTTAAAACTTCTTTTAATCCATTAATACGTTCTTGATTCTTTAACATGATTTGTTTTAACTAATACGACAACGTTTATATCAATTAAAACACTTTACAAAAATCTTCTAAGTTGATTTAATCGATTGTTCGCGATTCAATCGATTGAAATACTTGCAAAACTTTCTCCTAAAACTTTTCAAGTTATTTTAAGCTGATAAAAATAAGTTTTAATCGATTAAAACGTTGTGCGAAGCTGTTTTAATTGATTGAAACGAGATTTAATCGATTAAAATAGTTATGATCGGTCATAAATGAATTCCGACCGATCATAATTGAAACCATATAATAGCGGTTCAAGGGTTAACCGCTATCTAAGTCATATTTTAAGAGCGGTTCTCGTGTAACCGCTATGTAAACCTCATCTCGCTTGAGCGACAATATTCTCGCTCGAGCGAAACGCCCCCTGCACAAAATTAGTACTCTCGGGTTGTATTTAGCTTGAGCGAGCCTATCTCGCTCGAGCGATAATTGATTCTGATCGATTATATTTTTGAAATGATCGATCATATTTGGTAATTTTTTCAAATAATTAATTATAATCGATTAGTTTTCTAAATTATTGATTAGAATTGATTAGTTTTTCAAATAATAGATTAGAATTGATTAATTTACAAATATATACTAAAAAATATAATTAAAACTATAAATTAGTTAAGAATATTGACTATTGTAAAGATAAAGTAGAAACATGGGAGGAGATGAGGATGATAATATAATAATAGAACTTACAAAAATGTAGAATTGAGAAGTTTGAAACAAATAAAAATAAGAAAATAGATATTTAATTACACTTTTAATAAATTTAAGATAATACTAGTTTTAATTTTTATTTTTAAATATTTATTTTAAATATTTAAAACAGAGAAACTATAATTTTAGTTTCTAGCTACTCGAATTTAAAGAATTAAATTTATTATTTAATCTTTTAATTTGTAGAATTAAACTCAATATAATTGTTAAAAATACTTTGTAGAGGCATTTGAGAAAGCTTTTGTCAAAATACTTTGTTTTTAATTGTTAAAAACATTTGTAGAGGTATTTTGCAAAACATAATTGAGATGATATGATAGCGGTTCCACCTTAACCGCTATCTAAAGTATAATTAAGATAGCGGTTAATGGTTAAGTGCTATTAGAAGTTCACTTTTAAGAGCGGTTCTCGTGGAACCGCTATCTAAAATGTATTGCGCTTGAGCGACAATATTATCGCTCGAGCGAAACTCCAAGTGCACATGAATTCGCATTCTCGGGTGTATTTCGCTTGAGCGACACTTTTCTCGCCGAGCGAAATACGATCCTGATCGATCATAACTTGAAATGACCGATTATAATTGAGAGGATATAATAGCGGTTCCCTCGAACCGCTATCTAAAGTGCATATTAGATATCTGAGGTGTATTTCTCGCTCAAGCGAAGTCCGATTCTGATCGATTATATTTTCAAAATGACCGATCATATTTGATAATTTTTTCAAATAATTAATTATAATCGATTAGTTTTCTAAATTATTGATTAGAATTGATTAGTTTTTCAAATAATATATTAGAATTGATTAATTTCTGAAATATATACTAAAAAATTATAATTAAAACTATAAATTAGTTAAGAATATTGACTATTATAAAGATAAAGTAGAACATGGGAGGAGATGAGGATGATAATATAATGATAGAACTTACAAAAATGTAGAATTGAGAAGTTTGAAACAAATAAAATTAAGAAAATAGAGATTTAATTACACTTTTAATAAATTTAAGATAATACTAGTTTTGATTTTTATTTTTAAATATTTATTTTAATTATTTCAAACGGAGAAACTATAATTTTAGTTTCTAGCTATCTGAATTTAAAGAATTAAATTTATTATTATTTAATCTTTTAATTTTAGTATTAAAATTTTAAATTATATTTTTCTACTT